TTAATGGTGTAACATTAGAAAATGTTGACCATTTCCGCTCCCTTGGCAGCCACCTCTCCACCAAAGTCAACATCGACACCGAAATACAACACCGCCTGAGCTCTGCGAGTGCAGCATTTTTCCGAATGAAGCAGAGAGTGTTTGAGGACCAGGACATCCGTAGGGAGACCAAGGTGCTTGTTTATAAAGCTATTGTCCTCCCAACCCTGCTATACGCCTGCGAGACGTGGACTGTCTACAGGCGTCACATGCAATGATTCCATCAGCACTGCCTCTGAAAAATCCTGCAAATCTCTTGGAAAGACAAGCAGACAAATGTCAGCATTCTGGAAGAAGCAAAGACCACCAGCATTGAAGTGATGCTCCTCCGCCATCAACTCCGCTGGACTGGCCACGTTGTCAGGATGCCTGACCACCGTCTCCCAAAGCAGTTGCCCTACTCTGAACTCAAGAACGGAAAACGGAATGTTGGTGGGCAGGAAAAGAGATTGAAAGATGGGCTCAAAGCCAACCTTGAGTCGCCTAATTAGGCTGAAAAATGCGGTATAGAAATAAAGCAAATAATAAATAAATAAATAAATAAATAAACCTAAAAAACTCCGGCATAGACACTGAGAACTGGGAAGCCCTGGCCTGTGCGTGCTCCAGCTGGAGGTCAGCTGTGTCCAGCAGTGCTGCAGATTTTGAAGAGGCACAAATGGAGGGCAAAAGAGAGAAACATGCCAAGAGGAAGAAGGTGCATCAAGCCAACCCCGACCGGGACCGCCTTCCACCAGGAAACCGATGCCCTCACTGCAGAAGGGAGAAGATGCAGATCAAGAATAGGGCTCCACAGCCACCTACAGGCCCACCCCCAGGTTACCACTCTTGGAGGACCATCATCCTCGGACTATGAGGGATCACCTAAGTAAGTAAGGACAACTAGTTAAACATGAGCCAACAGTGTGATGCGGTGGCAAAAAAAGCCAATGGGATTTTGGCCTGCATCAAGAGGAGCCTAGTGTCTAGATCCAGGGAAGTCGTGCTCCCCATGCTCTATGCTGCCTTGGTCAGACCACACATGGAATCACACTGAGTTCAATTCTGGGCACCACAACTGAAGAGAGATATTGACTCTAAGCTGGAATGTGTTCAGAGGAGGGAGACTCAAATGATCAAGGATCTGGAGAACAAGCCACATGAGCGGCATCAAGAGCTGGGCATGTTTAGCCTGCAGAAAAGAAGGCTGAGAGGAGACATGATAGCCATATATAAATATGTGAGAGGAAGCCACAGGGAGGAGGAGAGAGCAAGCTTCCTTTCTGCTTCTCTGGAGGCTAGGACGCAATGGAGCCATGGATTCAAACTATAAGAAAGGAGTTATAGCTTTTTTTCGGGCTATATGGCTATGGTCTAGAGACATTCTCTCCTGACATTTTGCCTGCATCTGTGGCAAGCATCCTCAGAGGTGATGAGGTCTGTTGGAACTAGAAAAAAGGGTTTATATATCTGTGGAATATCCAGGGTGGGACAAAGGACTCTTGTCTGCTGGAGCTAGGTGTGAATGTTTCAACTGACCACCTTGATTAGCATTTGATGGCCTGGCAGTGCCTGGAGCAATCTTTTGTTGAGAGGTGATTAGATGTCCTTGTTTGTTTCCTCTCTGTTATTGTGCTGTTGCAATTTTAGAGTTTTTCCTTGTTCCTTTTTCCTAGTTCCAACAGACCTCACTACCTCTGAAGATGCTTGCCATAGATGCAGGCGAAACGTCAGGAGAGAATGCCTCTAGAACATGGCCATATAGCCTGAAATAAACCTACAACAACCCAGTGATTCTGGCCATGAAAGCCTTCGACAATACATTAAATGAAAAATGCTTTACTTCAGCAAACACAAGAGAACAGCACACGCAGTTGGGAAAGGCAAAAGAAAGCAAAGAAGTTTTAATGTAGATATAAAACTCAAGTCTCTGATAAAGTCCAAAAGAAACAGCAGTCTTACATCAGACAACAGGCAGTGATCACTAAATCCTTAGATGCAGACTCGAAGTTGGTTCAATCGGAGTGAAAACATCAGCATCAGAGTCGTTTGTTACCAGCGAAAGCTAACTCTCCTGCTTCTGATTTATAGCCCTGAATTCCTCAAGCAGGAGGTGCTAGGGCTGCTCCCAATTACCTTGACATTTCTAGCAGCTATTCTAGCTGAACGCCGTCTGTGCTCTGTTTCTTCTCGCCTTTCCAGAAATGTAGGCACTTACAAGACCTCATCCTCTGATTCGAATTCCCCCTCTAATCCCTGAACACCTTCCTGCGCCCTTCCTTCCTCTTCTGGAGATGAGGAATCACTAACACTTGGTGATGGCGGAGGCTCTAAAATTACAACAGCACAACAAGCTAATCAAGGTGGTCAGTTGAAACATTCACACCTAGCTCCAGCAGGCAAGAGTCTTTTGTCCCACCCTGGACATAATTCCACAGATATATAAACCCCTTTTCCTAGTTCCAACAGACCTCACTACCTCTGGGGATGCTTGCCATAGATGCAGGCGAAACGTCAGGAGAGAATGCCTCTAGACCATACAGCCCGAAATAAACCTACAACAACCCATTGATTCTGGCCATGAAAGCCTTTGACAATATAAGAAAGGCGATTCCACCTGAACATGAGGAAGAACTTCCTGACTGTGAGAGCCGTTCAGCAGTGGAACTCTCTGCCCCGGGGGGAGTGTGGTGGAGACTCCTTCTTTGGAGGCTTTGAAACAGAGGCTGGATGGCCACCTGTCAGGGGTGCTTTGAACGTGATTGTCCTGCTCCTTGGCAGAATGGGGTTGGACTGGGTGATGGCCCAGGAGGTCTCTTCCAACTCTAGGATTCTATGAGAGCTGTTCAGCAGAGGAACTCTCTGCCCCGGAGTGTGGGGGAGGCTCCTTCTTTGGAGGGTTTTAAACAGAGGCTGGATGGCCATCTGTCAGGGGTGATTTGAATGCAATATTCCTGCTTCTGAACATGAGGAAGAACTTCCTGACTGTGAGAGCTGTTCAGCAGTGGAACTCTCTGCCCTGGAGTGTGGTGGAGGCTCCTTCTTTGGAGGGTTTTAAACAGAGGCTGGATGGCCATCTGTCAGGGGTGATTTGAATGCAATATTCCTGCTTCTGAACATGAGGAAGGACTTCCTGACTGTGAGAGCCGTTCAGCAGTGGAACTCTCTGCCCCGGGGGGAGTGTGGTGGAGGCTCCTTCTTTGGAAGCTTTTAAACAGAGGCTGGATGGCCATCTGTCAGGGGTGCTTTGAATGCAATATTCCTGCTTCTTGGCAGAATGGGGTTGGATTGGATGGCCCATGAGGTCTCTTCCAACTCTAGGATTCTATGTGAGAGATGTTCAGCAGTGAAACTCTCTGCCCCGGAGTGTGGTGGAGGCTCCTTCTTTGGAGGCTTTTAAACAGAGGCTGGATGGCCATCGTCAGGGGTGATTTGAATGCAATATTCCTGCTTCTTGGCATGGGGTTGGACTGGATGGCTCAGGAGATCTCTTCCCACTCTAGGATTCTATGAGGCTGGATGGCCACCTGTCAGGGGTGCTTTGAATGCAATATTCCTGCTTCTTGGCAGAATGGGGTTGGACTGGATGATGGCTCAGGAGATCTCTTCCCACTCTAGGATTCTATGAGGCTGGATGGCCACCTGTCAGGGGTGCTTTGAATGCAATATTCCTGCTTCTTGGCAGAATGGGGTTGGACTGGATGATGGCTCAGGAGATCTCTTCCCACTCTAGGATTCTATGAGGCTGGATGGCCACCTGTCAGGGGTGCTTTGAATGCAATATTCCTGCTTCTTGGCAGAATGGGGTTGGACTGGATGATGGCTCAGGAGATCTCTTCCCACTCTAGGATTCTATGAGGCTGGATGGCCACCTGTCAGGGGTGCTTTGAATGCAATATTCCTGCTTCTTGGCAGAATGGGGTTGGACTGGATGATGGCCCAGGAGTTGGTCTCTTCCAACTCTTTGATTCTATGAGTTCTATGAGAAGTCTCCTTCTCTGGTGACTGGAGGGAGACACCTCTTGGGAGGTTTACACAGAGGCAGGATGGCACGCAGGGGTGCTTTGACATATTGTGCCACTTGTCAGAAGGGGTTGGACTTGTGGTGAGGACCAGGAAGTTCCTTCAATCTTGCTCAGAATCACTCTACATAGAACCTCTAGTTCATGGCCAGTGTCCATCACAACCTGCTTAACTGCTCCAAATGAAGGATTCCACAAATCCCTC